ATGTGCTGAGATGAACAAGTGGACAGGTGCTCAAGTATACAAGTGAACAAGCAGACAGGTGCTATGATGCATGGGTCAACAAGTGGACAGGTGCTCAGGTGAACTAGTAGACAGGTGCTCAGGTGAACAAGCGGACAGGTGCACAGGTGCACAAGCGGACAGGTACTCAGGTGAACTAGCGGACAGGTGCTCAGGTGAACAAGCAGACAGGTGCTCAGGTGAACTAGTGGACAGGTACTCAGGTGAACAAGCAGACAGGTGCTCAGGTGAACAAGCGGACAGGTGCTCAGGTGCACAAGTGAACAAGCGGACAGGTACTCAGGTGGACAAGCGGACAGGTGCTCAGGTGCACAAGTGAACAAGCGGACAGGTGCTCAAATGAACTAGTGGACAGGTGCTCAGATGAACTAGTGGACAGGTGCTCAGGTGAACTAGTGGACAGGTGCTCAGGTGAACAGGTAGACCAAGCACACAGGTGCTCAGGTGCATAGGTAAGTGGGGGCAGGACTCAGGCCCAGACTTCCCATTCTCATTCTTAGTGGTCGCCCAGTGCTAAGGTGCCCAGTTCCCCTGCACGGCCTGGCTCAGCTGGCCTGACGTCGCAGCTGCAGGTACGGGGTCACGAGTGATTTCACGTACTGTATATATGCTGAGCTGTGTGCAAACGCAGACGGGGCTTCTGTGTGGCAACTGTGCCCCAGCACTGAGAGGGAAGCACTGGGTGCCTGAACCCTCCCCCTGGCCCTGACGGAGCCCACTCTGGTGGCTAAGACAGAACGAAGTGCCAGGCGGAGGCCACCGAGCTCTCCATTCTGATGCAGTCGGCTGCTCTGGGACCCTGGGTTTGTCCAGGTGACTTCAGGTGTCCTAGAGCTCCCTGCGTCCCCCAGCAGGTCCCAAACTCCCTCGAGGACGCGAATGGCAGCCCTCATCCTGAGACGTGCTGCTGGACAGCTTACATGCCTCATGCCCCACAAAGTAGGAGCTTTGTCATCCCCATGTTACCAATGAGGAGACCGAGGCCTGGACAGTGAGCTGCTCAGGGTCCTGCCCTAACAGGGGCAGAGTGGGTCACAGCCTCACTAGTGTGCACCTCGCCTGCCATCCTGCTGAGTAGATGGTGTGCGATGCTGAATCAGCATGCCCCTGCTCCTGTCCCAGATCCGAGGAGCAGTGTCTACGCAGAGGCCCCAGAATCGTGCCCAGGTCTCAGGCTGCCCTGAGTCCTGCACGGCACATGTGAGGGCTCACGGCCCCTCCAGATCACTCTGTCAGGTCAGGAGGGCCACCCCTGAGTGACTCAGGTCCAGGTGGTTGGGGACCAGGGAGCCCCGAAGAGCTCAGACTCAGGGTCGATGGTGGCCAGGGCCCTGGGCAGTCCGAGGTAGTGTTTGTAGCCAAGTCTCTCTCTGGCCTTGCTGGAGCCAGGATCCCCCGTGGCCATTTCCTCCAACCTGAGGGCACAGCAGTGTGGCAGAGTGCACAAGGAGAGGCAGAGTGAGCCGGGGGATTGGGGGGTGTGCAATCGAAGCGTGCGAGCCTCGTGAAGAGGAGGCCCTGGCAGGGACAACAGCCAGCTCAGCTCCCTGTGACCCGAGACCCCGGGCTCAGCCCAAAGGGGTTCAGGGAGATATGCACCAAAACTGCGTGTGGCTCCTTCCAGCCCTTTATGGAAGTCAGGAGTGGGGGAAGGCAAGGCGGAGGCCCACCTGGCTGGCTCTTCCCATGCAAAGCCCCTCCCCTAAGCTCTCCCACCCACTCTCCCCGTGTCCACAAGGGAAACAAACCCTTTGGACAGCGCTGAGCTTAGGTTACCTCTCTCTGCTCCCTGGTGTCACTAGGCAATACTGCTTACGCAGAGTGACTGCTGGTGGGTGGGAGGTGTCCAGACTGGGAGGGCGACAGCTGAGGTCAGTCGTGCTGGGAGCCACAGGTCTGGCTTCCCTGATGCAGCAGTCCTGGTGGGGACCCCGGGTGCTTCCTTGCAGAGCTGTGACCAGAGACACTGGCTTGCGGGGCATGGGCTCCTAAGCCAGGCGGTGCCCTCCAACCCTCATCCCCACACACCTGAGCTGCCCCCATGACCAGCTGCATCCCTGTCTGACATCCTTCCTGAGTGGGCGGCTGACAAGGGTGTCTGAATGTCTGGTTGAGCCCAAGAGCCTTTGGGGGGCACTGGGGCTCCCCAAGGAAAGCTTGGACTGACTGAAAAAGGCTGTGATATCGCAATTTATAATAAATACATATCTAGTCTTTGTCCCCATTGCTGGCACAGAGCTCCTAAAACTCTTGGAATTTCCTGAGAGGAGGGCAATGAAGGTGTCTTTTATTATGTTAATAAGGTGACTTTTGGGAAGCCCCCAGGTCAGCTAAGGGTGGGGCTGGCTGCCAGGGGAACTGACACTGACCTTGGAGGAACTTTCAGTGCCACCCCCGACCTCTGGGAGGGGAGGGGGCTGGAGATTGAATTGATCGCAGTGGCCATGATTTAATCAATCGTGCCTGTGTCATGAAGCCTCCGTAAACACCCAAAAGCAAAGGGCTCAGAGAGCTTCCGAGACGGTGAACAGGTGGAGACGTGGGGAGCGGGCGCACTCAGAGCACAGAAGCCCCTCGCCCTCTCCCACGCCTCGCCCTACGTGCTCTCCCATCTGGCTGCTCCTGAGTGCTATCCTTTCATACCTGGCGATCGAGTAAGTGAGACGTTTCTCTGAGTTTTGTGAGCCGCTCTAGCAAATCAATCAAACCCAAGGTGGGGGTCACTGGAACCTCAGATCTACAGCCAGTTGGTCAGAGGCACAGGTGACAGCCTGGACTTGCGAGTGGCATCTGAAGTGGGGGACAGCCTTGTGGGACTGAGCCCTTCACCTGTGGGGTCTGACGCCATCTCCAGGTAGATGGTGTCAGGATTGACTGAATTGTAGGACACCCAGCTGGTGCTGGAGAATTGCTTGGTGGTGTGAGGACCACCCCCTCCACATTGGAATTGGTGACCAGAATCACTAAAGGCCCTGGTGCTGATACAAAATGGACAAGAGATTGAGCATTCATGTCACCAAAGAAAATAGACGGAAGGCAAATAAGCCCAGGAGAAGATGCTCAACACTAATCATCGGGGAATGAAAATTAAAACCAGAGGTGACACCAAGACACGCCTGCCCATTAGAGCAACCAACACGAAAGACCAGCACGGAGTGCGGCCGAGGGTGACAGTGAGGAGGAGCTGGAACTCTCATTCCCTGCGGGCAGGGATGTAAACTAGGACAGCTACTTGGAAACTGTTTGGGAGTTGCTAAAAAGTTACCCATACACTTAGCGTACGACGCAGCCATTCCACTCCTAGGTGTTCACCCAAGAAATGAAGGCTCGTGTCCACACAGACTTGTGCATGCACAATCACAGCACGCTTATCTGTGACAGCCCAAACCTGAAACAACCCAGCACCCACCACCAGGTGACCGGATAGAAGGTCGTGGTGTGTCTGCCTGACGGAATACCGCTCGGCAACCACGGGGAATTACCCGTATATACAACATGCACACGTGCCAGGATGATCACGCTGAGGAAGAAGAGCCAGACAAGAGTATGCACTGGACTCCATTCATGTGAAATTCTAGAAAGTGCACACTACCCTTAGCGACAGAAAGCAGACCAGTGGGATGGGGCAGGAGGAGACCGGGGGTGGGGGTACAGGCTGCCAGGTTGTAGAGTGCAGACAATATCCAAACGTATTTCACTGTGCACTTTAAGTGTGTACAGTTTATTACGTGTCAATTAGACCTCAACAAAGCTGTTTAAAGAAAGGCCCTTGTGTGGCTAGAAATGGCCATGGGTTCAAGGCTGAGGTGATGCCCTGGTAGTGATGGGCCAAGAATAGGGTCCCTTCCCAGGCTGAGCTCCAGATCTCCAACTGGTGGGCTTGTCTGCCCTCCAGGCTCCTTGACATCTGGGATGCCTCCCCCAGGCCCTGGGGGACCCAGAGGCCCAGGAGCCCCTGGTCATCCCAGCTCCCACACCCAGGCGGCTGTAGGAAGGTCTGGAGGAGCAGGGAGGGGTCCTCAGGGAAAGACTCTGGGGTCCAGGACAGTGGGGGGCGGGAATCCCTCCCCCGTGAGGCCAGTCTAAGCATCATGCCGGGAAGCCATCGCAGACTCACAGGCACCCCTTCTGGCCGGCCCTCTGCTTGGACACCGGGTGTCCTCCCATCCTTGACTCTCGTTTCCCAGGACAGCTCAGGCTCGTGGATATTTGGTTAAGAACTCAACCACAGGACAAGGGAACAGAGGCACAGCCCAGCCCGCGCCCCAGGCAGCTCAAGACCTACACCCGGGCTGCCCTCCCCCACCCTCGCCAGCACCCCGACACACGGTCACCTCCTAGAGCCTCCAGACCAGCACCCACCACCTGTCCTCCTGCCTTTGGGGCTGAAGGAATGGCCCTGGTCCCCTCTTCAAGGGCCACCTTAGTGTCTGCAGCCGAGGGGGCTGATGTAGAAACCCCCACCCCACTCAGGGCTGCATGGGCAGCCGCTGCACCCACCTCCTGGCCTCCTGCAGGTCGCTGTGTTGCCATGGCCCCCGCCCAGGTCCCCAGGCCCCCAGGTCACAGCCCCGGCCCCCAGGTCACAGCCCCGGCCCCCAGGTCCTCTGTGCGGTTTCCCCCCATGAGGGTCTCTACCTGTGAGCTCTTGCCCCAAGCCCAGGGACTCGCCGAGTCAGGCAGCCCAAACCCACTGGGAGGAGGGAGGCCTGATTTCCACCTGAGGGTTCATGGAGGGCGGGTGGGGGGCTGCTCTCTGAGAAGCCAATGGCCTCCCTTGTGCTCAGCACCACACAGGCCTTTGTGAGTGAGAAAAAGCTGCTGTTCAAACCTTTAGACGGAACATTCACAATCACTATACTTTGCCGTCATTTTCATAAATCGAGGGAATCCCAGCCCCCGTCAGCAGGGGCCCCCAGGACCCGCCCCTGGAGCCTCCAGCTGGGTGAGGCCTGGGTGCTGCCGGGTGGGCCTGCTGGTGGCGTTGTCGGGCTCAGGAGTCCAGATCCCTCTCTGGGCCTGGGGCGGTCTTCACAGGCCTAGAACAGGGCATCGGGGGCCAGCACCCCCTTCTTGAGGATGAGGTTTCCGTAGAGAGCCGTCTCCCTGCATAAGGAGCTGAGCTGAGAGCCGGGCTGGGCGGGAGAGGGCCAGGGTGCCCAGATCCCTGCTCCACCACCCACCTTCATCCCACCGCAGGACAGGCCCAGGGACCAGCCTTCCGGCACACCCATCCCTCCGCCCCCCGCCACCCTCCTGTTCCCTGGGGGACATCTAGTCTCAGCCAGGGCAGAAACTGAGTGGGAGTGGGGCGCGGGGGGAGGGCCCCACACTCGGCCCAGACCCAGCTGGATCCACCCAACCAGCTGGACCCAGCGGACCCAGTGGACCCAGCCAGAACTCACCCAGTTGCTACAACAGCAAATGCCTTTTTGGCCCGGTTGTAAAACTCAAACCTCTCTATCTTTGCCAGGGTGCTCTGGAAGGCAAAATAGCACGGTGCACAGAAACCCTCAGTCCAGCAGGCACAGGGGCACCACGAGGTGTGGCCTCTCTGAACTCCATTTCTCTGGTTCTCCTGGTTGGGGTCCTGAGGACGCCCACCCTCTGACCTCCGAGGACTGGGCAGGCTGGGACATGGGGGGCTGTGGTGGGCAAGGTGCCTGCCTGGGGCCCTTGCATCCTCTGAGCTGCCCTGGAGGAGTGGGGACCACTGTGCAGGACAGGAGCCCCAGGTGTCCCCTCATCAGATAGGCCCTGCCCAAGACCTCCAGTGGGTGGTCCCAGGAGGACAGGCCCGTCCCCTTGAAGGGTGGAGGGTGACACATAGCCTCAGGCCAGGCATCTGGCCACAAGACAGTGGCCAGGGGTACCCCGCTTCCCATGGCTCCACTGGGACAGGCTGGGTGGGTGAGGGCCCCTAGGCAGAGAAAGGTGAGGATCCTGGAAGGGAGACTGGGGGCATTGGCACGGGGGTGGCCAGACCCCCAGGGTCACTCTTCCGTGGGGGGTGAGCAGGTGCCCGCACAACCATGGGGTGGAGTTTGGGGTCCTGGTGGTTTGCTCCTCCTGGGCCTCCAAGGAGGTGTAGAGGGTCCCCTTTCGGGTGGGCGCCACAGGCTCACCGTGCAGCCAGCTCCGAGGAGGATGGACTGGTAGCTTCTCCACACTGGGGTCTGGAGGCCCCTCTCCCGGTCACTGGGCTCCAGCTCCATGACAGCAGCCTGGAGATGGAAGGGGTCACCTCTGTGCCCACCCACCCAGCCACCCTTGGCGCCTCAGGCCCCTGAATTGGGTGATGGTTCAGGGCTCCTCTGATCAGCATCAGGGCCCTTTGGAAACATGTGCCCCCCCACCCCCCACAAGTGGGTCCTCTGAGGTCTGGCAAAGGGGAAACCGAGGCCTGAGCAGCGAGGGGACAGCATGGCAACGAGGGCCCTCACCGGGCTCTCCACATAGGTGTCCAGCGGCAGCAGCTTCAGCACGGCCTCCAGGAGCTGTGGGACGCACAGGCCTGAGGGCAGAGTGCCAGCCTCAGACTCCCGCCCTCTCCCACCCAGCCACCAGCTGCCAACACCACCTGCCTGCACGACTGTCCATGCCTTGCACACTGGATCCCGCTAAGTGGCCAGCAAGGACAGATTGGGCCCAGGACAGATGAGGAACCGCAGGCACCTCCTTGCCTGCCTGGTGACACTTACTGAGGTCACACTGGCATCTCCCCGCCCTGGCCACGGTGCCTGTCACTGCCCCAGCACTGGCCATCCCCTCACTCTGCACCACGCAGGTTGTTGGTGGTGACCCAAACACCCGTCCACCAGGAGGGGCCACCTCCTTGACCCCGGAAGGCCCTGGAGATGACCCCCGGGGTTGCCACCTTTATCCTGTGACGAGGACAGTGGGGTCTGGGAAGGGGCCTCTCTTGCCCAAGGCTGCCCCCAAACGCCCCCCTGGGCTCTGAGGCCCCCTGCTCTCCTGTAAAGCTGGTTGGTGATCGTTGAAGTGATGCTCTCTGTACAAGATCGGGAAACAAAGTAGCCTGTTAGAGGAAGAACCTTGATCTCACCATGTAGAGGAAGCCTTGCCCCTGTCTGAGTACGGTCCCTTCTGCCTTTTTTCTCTGCATTGCTACATGATCAGGCCTTTCTGCATACATACAGTTGGCCCTCCGTATCCGCATACAGAACACGTCAAAACAAAGGGCTGACTGAAGGACGTGAGCATCTGTGGATTTTGGTATCCTTGGGGGTCCTGGACCCAATCCCCCACAGATACCGAGGGACGACTGTAGTGACACTAACTCCTAACTGCTTGCTTTCCACTGACAAGCAGGCTGTGTGTCACTTTTGGTGGCTGTACCGTGATTTACTTAAACAATGCTTGTGGTCCTTTCCCACGGCCTACCTTGTCCCACCTCCTTGGGGAGGAGAGCACCTCGGGTGACCGGGCCCACAGCGTAAGCCAAGGCATGGCTGGCTCAGCTCCCTGAGCACAGGGTAGAAGCCGAGACCACGGGGTCAGGAACGAGCAGCCCACCACGCAGGCCTGGGACCACTGGTCCGCTCCATCCAGAGAAGCTGAGTGTACCCCACACTTCACATCTCTGTGCCTCAGTGGCCTCAACTCTGCAGGGAGAGTTGTGTTCCTGCTTCACAGCATCACTGGGGTGGGGGTAGGGCAGCCAGGCATGGCTGGAGCCCAGTGCCCATTCAGGCAGGACATGACCAGGCAGGGTGCTGGTGCCCTCACCCCACGCCCCCAGTTACCTCTGGTACTACTAACTCTGCTTCTACCAACCCCAGGGACCTGGCTCCAGGCGCCTCTGAGCTTCACCTCTTGCCCATCCCCAAGGGTCAGAGACCCAGCGTGTGGACGCCTGGGGCCTGTGAGGCCAGGTCACCAGTGCTGGCATTTCTATAGCACCGTAAGAACTGAACACTTGACCTGGGGCGGGGGGGCACCACTGTTCAGCCAGCTGACAAGGTGCCAGGCCTCAGTTTCCCCATTTGCAAGAAGTCACCAAGTGGAGTCTGAGATGGAGCAGGAGGCCCAGGCTCACCTCTGGGGGCTGGGGGCTGCAGGGAGAGTCTCGAGGATCTGGTACTGGGATTTCCTGGGTCACTGGTGGGTGCTTGGTAATGGATGGGGAGCCGAGGGCCAGGATGACTGCCCAACTTCCCCAACCCCACCGAGCAGGAGGTGGTGGCTCACCGTCGGCGCGGATCTCCTCGGGGCCACACCTGCAGACGGCGGAGGTGGGGAAGTTCACGTCTGCAAGAACTGAACAGCGGGCCGGTTAGACACCCTCCCCACCGCGCGGGTGGGTCTGCGCAACCCACCCTCCCACTGCGCCGGAGGGGGGGCGTCAGACCACGCCCACCGCCCTCCCCCCACGCTGGTCAGACAGACCGGGAGAGGGAGCGGCCAGGTGCAGGAGACTCTGCTGGCGTTGCCGCGACCAGGGCGGAGCTCGGACCGCGGCCTCCACCCCGGGTCCGGCCCCGCAGTCCCCGCCCCAGGCCCACGGCCCCAGGAAGAGAAACCACCGCAAACGTCGGGGGGCAGCCCCGGGCCGGCGGGGGTGGCCCTCGGGGCCGTCTGTGGAGGGGTATGCAGTCTGGGCGGCACGCAGGGCCTGGGGCCGGGGGAGGGGCCGGACATGCCCGGACGCAGCCCCGCCCGGACCAAGGGCCTCCGTTCTCGTGACCGCCCGGGGCCAACCGAGGGCCTGGCCGCCCGCCCGGGCCTCAGTTTCCTAAGGAATGCGGACGGGGCGGCCGGAGCGATGTCGCCGCCCCGAGACCCGAAGAGGACACGGCGTGGGCCAGGCCCCGCGCGCCCGCCGGACTTCTGCCCCGGGGTGGGGGTCCCCGAGGCCCCGCCCCCGCCGCTCTCACCGATCTCGTCTCCGTGCCCCATCCGCGCCAGCGCGAAGAGCAGCTCCGGGGACAGCACCGCGGGGACGCCCTTTAGCACCACCATGCTCGCTGGCCTGGGGGGCGGGGCCTGGAGAGGGCGGGGCCTGGAGGGAGGGGCGGGCCTGGAGAGGGCGGGGCAGAGCCGCGGGCCTGGAGGGGGCGGGGCATGGAGGGAGGGCGGGGCCGAACCGCGGGGGGCCTAGAGGTGCGGGGTCGACAGAGGACGGGGCAGAACCGCGGGGCCGCGAGAGGGGCGCGTGCGGCTGGGCCCTTCGTGGCGCACCGAGGACGTCGCATCGCGCAGGCTGAGCCAGGGTAGGGGCGACACACGGCCCAGGCCCGCAGGCGCCTTTCGGGCCTCGCGCCCCTCGCCAGGTACAAGCCCAGGGCGCCACATGTCATTGTGGTCGGGGCTCCCCAGCGCCCTCCCCGCAGCCGCCCCACGCCCTGCCGGGTCCCTGGTGTCGCAGGGTGGCGGTCGGGGGCCGGGGGCGGGATAGCACGGACTTACTCCTTCAACCAGCATTCTTGACCCGGCCGGAGCAGGAAGGACACCTCCTGGAGGGCCCCGGCGGCCTCGGGGCTCAGCAGATGTGCCGGGAGCACCCGGCTGGGTTCCCTACCCCGTCCCCCAGGCGTCAGATCCCTCAGGTACCTGGCTGGGGTGCAGCGCCCCTGCCCAGGATAGCAGTGTCCTGACCTCTGACCCAGGGGCCCCAGCTGCCCGCCCTCCACCCCACCTCACCACTGGTGGACCAGATGGGCGAGGGAATGCATCTGCAGCTCCTTCCCCTGGAGAGAGAGCAGCTTGCCTTCAGCTGGCCGGAGTCCCCTCCCCCTTTGACCTGGCCACTAGAGGCCTGGAATCTGGGATGCTGACTCCTCATTAACCCCTTCAGAGCAGGGACCACCAACCACACTGTGCCTCCCTGTTCAGGGTGCCGCCACCTCCCACGCACTCCCCCCTGGGAGAAGATGACCACCACTCCAGAGGGGCAGCCACAGCCACCCCACATCTAGTGCTGTGTCAGAATCGTGGTTCTTGGGCCTCACCCTGGTTGGGGTGTTTAGAAGATTGTGTTTTCCAAGAATGGCAGCACCACCATATCTCCCATCCCACAGTGCCCTGGAAAGGCCTCCACTGAGAGGTGGGCTCTGTCCCCTTCCCTTAAACCAGGTGGACCCTTATAACTGCCTCCACCAATAGAATCTGCTGGAAATGGTGTGGCCTGGCTTCTGAGGTTAGGTCATAAAAGGCAGCAGCCCAGCCCTGCAATGTAGCAGGCTCACTTCTCGAAATTTAACTGACGTGCTTGCACTGAGGTGTAAGGATTCATGCAAAGAATGTTCACCACATTGCTATGCATAACAGTTCTGATAACAAGAAACTGGACACAGTCTATATATCCAATACCACAGGAATAAGTAAATTACGATACACTCATATCATAAGATACTTCAGGGCCATTAAAAAGAATGCTGGTGTTGTTATTTGGCAATGAAAAGAAATGAAAGTCTATTACATGCTACAACCTGGGTGGACCCTGATTTACTAAATTTACAGAGACAGAAAGCAAGCAGAACAGGATTCCAGGGACCTGGAGAGGGAGGAACGGGGAGTTAGTGTTTAATGGGGACAGAGTTTCTGTTTGGGAAGATGACACAGTTTGGAGATGGATGGTGGCGATGGCTGTAGAAAACTGTGAATACACTTAATGCCACTGATCTGTACATTTAAAAAGGGTTAAAATGGTAAGTTTTCTGTTATATGTTTTACCACAATAAAAAAGAATGCTAGACAACAGTGCACTTATATGCACCTGCAAGTAGAAGGACACCCAGTACACGTCACACAAGTGTGTACACGGAATACCACTCTCGTAGGAGGAAAACTGAACTGCATACCTCTGTGTGTGCGCGTGTGGGCACAGAAAAGTCTCTAGAAGCTACACACCTGTTAATGGTGGTTGCCCTGGACTGTGACAGGCTGACTTACTTTAAGGACTCTGTTTGAATCTTGTCATTTATAATGACAAAACAAAAGTTTAAAAAAAGTGATAGAACATTCAACTCGAGATGATTACAGTAAGGACAGTGTGATCTCACGTCTGTCACTCAGTCAATAGCACATCTCTTTAAAGCGCCCATCAGCGACGCCTTCCCCGAGGGTCACAGTCACTGGCCGTGACCCACACGCTGGCCGACCACGTGCTCTGAGCGTGACGTGCTGTACTAAGTGACCGTGTTTGGCCACGAAACTTCTCTCAGTTCCTGAAATGAAGTAAAAACACGCTCGACAGCGCTTCTCACAACTGGTGGGTGAAGACCACCTGCCACGCACGGCCCCGCAGAGTCAGCGAGAAACTGTGTCACTTTTACTGCCCTTTAAAAGAGAAGGATTTATTTGCTTCTAAAGCTAACAGACCGTAGTTTTCCTCTTCAGACAGAGGCTTTAAGGCAGAGGCGGCCAGTGCTCACTGGTCTTTGAAGTTGGCCTGCCTCTTCTCCACGAATGCAGTCATCCCTTCTTTCCGGTCTTCCTGTGGGAAAGGACAGAGCAGAGGTGGACAGTCACACTTTGCTACTTAGCCGAAGTGCAGGGCTCTGTGTCCGGGGTGTGCTGTCGTTGGGTTCCCCCTGCCTTCGGCCCTCCACACTCACAGGGATGCTGCAGCAGGATCACCCAGAAACCTGGGAATGCTCCAGACTACCTGACCAATTAGGGCCGGCCTGGGATGGGTATTCTAATATACCCCTGCCAAGTGACGGTCACTCAGGAACCACTAACTTGTGTGTTGAATGAATGCTTACCTACAGAGAACCTCAGACGCACACATTTGGGTCATTCACCAAATCACCCCCTGGACTGGGTAGCTATCTGTCAGGTAGTATCCCGAGTGTCAAGAAGGACACGAAAATCCAGACTCCACCTCTGCATCTTTTCCTGTGTGTACACACACACGTACACACGCATCCTCACCTCAAGAGCCAAAGCCATTTTTAATCTTCCTTTCATAAAACCCCTAGATATGACTTCCTGATAATCAAAGGAATGAATTTTAATGACTATTAGAAGAATGATTTCCTTTAAGTTACTGGCAGAAATCCTAGAACATACTGTTCTAAAGCTTCAGATTATAGTATTACAATACAGTGGAACCCCATTCCAAGTAACTGGAATGATCTAGGAACGTTATGGGGGAATGGACTGCATTCAAACACAGGAGCTTGCTGGTTAAGGGCCCCTTGTAAGTTTATGCACTTTTGAACTTCCACACACTGTACTTATTTGCAGAAGTCCATGCTCACCGATAGAACATATCTGACCCAGCTACGGCAAAGCTAGCCGTTCTGACTAGAGGGAAATGGTATTTAATGATAAAATCTACGAGGAAATTCCCAGCAACTTCTATGGCTGGAACGTGTGATTCTCCATCTGGCTGTTGTTTACTCACAGTAGCAAAAGTTGAATAGAAGAGTTTCTTCTCCAGCTTATTTCCCTCTGTTAATGTCATCTCGAAAGCTTGAGAAAGAAAACTCTGAGTTACGAACCAAGATGCTGGATGTGGGAAGGCAGAACTCTTTTCTATGGCGAGAGGAAACACTCCTCACGGAATCACACGAACTTTAATTTCATCCTGATTTAAAATGCAGCCTGGGGGCCGGCCCGGGGGCTTAGCAGTTAAGTGCGCGTGCTCCGCTACTGGCAGCCCGGGTTCGGATCCCGGGCGCGCACCGACGCACCGCTTCTCCGGCCATGCTGAGGCCGCGTCCCACATACAGCAACTAGAAGGGTGTGCAACTATGACATACAACTATCTACTGGGGCTTTGGGGAAAAAAAAGGAGGAGGATTGGCAATAGATGTTAGCTCAGAGCCGGTCTTCCTCAGCAAAAAGAGGAGAATTAGCGTGGATATTAGCTCAGGGTTGATCTTCCTCAAAAAAAAAAAAAAAAAAAAAAAAATTAAAATTAAAATGCAGCCTGGGAAGCCCCAGTCCCATGCGTGGCTTCTGGGTCCTGCTCCTTTGCCTCCCTTTTCACACGCACCACCCCGGCAGAGAAACCAGTGAAACAAACTGCTCTGAGGGCCTCCCACTCCTGGGCCCCGAGTGTCACTGACAGTGGCCTCGAGAAGGGACAGGCATGAGGAACTGGATGAGAAGGTGGAACAGCAAACTCTGTCCAACCACAAGAGAATTTGAGGTAGCCTACAAAATTGTATTAAGAAAGTATAGGGGCCGGCCCCGTGGCTTAGCGGTTAAGTGCGTGCGTTCCGCTACTGGCGGCCCGGGTTGGGATCCCGGGCGCGCACCGACGCACTGCTTCTCCGGCCATGCTGAGGCCGCGTCCCACATACAGCAACTAGAAGGATGTGCACCTATGACATACAACCATCTACTGGGGCTTTGGGGAGAAAAAGGGAAAAAACGGAGGAGGATTGGCAATAATGTTAGCTCAGGGCCAGTCTTCCTCAGCAAAAAGAGGATTGGCATGGATGTTAACTCAGGGCTGACCTTCCTCACACACACAAAAAAAAGTATAAAAAATAATAATTAAGGAAGAAAACCAGAAAAGGGAACATTGTGCCAGAACAGAGAGCAGCCTGGGCGGTAAGAAATGCCCCTGCTGTGGGCCATGTCTTTCTGCGAAGGTGAACAGGCGCGCTGCTCTCGGGAAGCACTGCCCGTGGCCCGAGCCCCTGGAGTGGGGGTGGAGCAAGAGCAGGTGCCTTCAGCTGGGGGTCACTAACCCCACAGTGACAGCAGCGCCCCCTCTCCAGCGTGTGCTCAGCCCTATGTTGACTCTTCACAAACATTAGCTCACTCAAGCGAGGCTGGCAGCAACCCAGGGGACATGACTGTGCTTTCCTGCAGATCAACACGGACGCGGAGAGGCAGAGTGGCTGCCTGAGGGGACACACGTCCGTCCCAGGACAGTCTGACTCCAGTGCTGAGAATAAACTGCTATGTCAAAACTCAAGCAATTCTGAGGAGGTCGGAGCCGCTCCGCTGGCAGAGAGCAAGCGCAAAGGCCAGAGCAACAGTGAGCAGTGTGACCTCTGTCCCCGGCTCCACGGGTGTTTAGGGAACCTGTGTCGTCCCTTAGCTGCAGGCCGCTGACCATCTGCACAGCCCCTGACCGATGCAGGCAGGCTATTAGCTGAGGAGAGGCATGTCTTCAACCGGGGCCAGGGAGGTGAACCGTTTCTCAGGATCCAGACTTGCTTTCCTTTAGGGACCACCACACCCATCTTGCTTCCCTCCCTGCTTCCAGTGACTGTCCCCAAGGCTGGCCCTGGTCTCAGGTCCTGGTACCAAGGGGAGCTTGGAACATGTCAACAGAATTTCTGAGCCAGCAACTAGAAACCAGAACTCTACAAAGAGCCAAAACTGAAATATTGAGAATCCTAACAATTTTTGTCCAGGACGGTTTAGGATGCATAATTCAGAGCCCAAAACTTCAAGCCTCACAACTACTCCTGTGCAGTCCTGGGGGCCCTCTCCACCTTCTCCTCCTGGTGGAACCCCACCTGCATTCACTGATTCCTTGGCCATCGCTGCGACAATTTTAGAATTGCTGGCAATTTTCTCTGCACACTGGATGGCTTCTTCGACCAGTGTCTCAACAGGAAAAATTTTGCTGACAAGACCTAAAACACAAAGAGGTGAACAACGTACGAAAACCACTGGTCACATTTCTCTGAGTCACGTGGACACTTTAAGAGCAGAGGTCTCCGGGTGCTAATGGGGCTGCGGTGACACAGGGAAGGCTCCACACCGTCCCCGAGGCGGCCCATGCCTTTGGCTACCACGGCCACTGCGCTCTTACAGATGCACAAACGGGAAGAAAAGCAGTTGCTGAGGTGGGGGGTGGTGAGGACATGCCTGTGAGGGGCCCAGGGACCCCCCCATTGCTATGCTGGGATTTGGGGAAATGGATGGTTTTATTATTACTCTTTAACCTGCATGTATGTTTTAGTTACCCTTCAGTATATATGGCATTTCAAATAAAAACAAAGGAAGTCAGTCCCCTGGGTCCTCCGGACACCCGACAGTACTGTACTGATCACCCCAGCAGCACCTGGACGCAGCCCTTGCCCTCCGCTCAGCTCCCCGTGAGGGTAGCTGCACGGGTGGCCCTGGCCCTACCTGCTTGCTTGGCATCCTGGGCTGAGATCCGGTCACCAGTGAGAATCATCTCCATGGCTAGCGACTTTCCGACGGCCCGGGTCAGTCTCTGGGTGCCTCCTGCACCTGCAGGGGCAGAGGGCTGCTGGTCACAGCTGGCTCTGCGGCCAGTGCAAGCTAAGATGCCACAGACATGCTACTGGCAAGTTCCGAGGGGCTGAAGATGGCCCCTTGGGTGGGGTGTGCGGATAAAACCGAGGTGGCCAGCAGGTAGGGAAGGGGAAGCAGGAAGAGAGCCGAGAAACCCCGGAGTAGGCTCCTCTCCCCGCTCAGGCCCCCTCCTCTGGCGCCTCGGGTCCCCCACATCAGCACCTCTCATGCAGGAGTCAGACGCTGGACAGATGTGCTGAGCTCACAGCTCACGGCCTTAGACGCTGACCTGGTCCAACCTAGAAGGCAGCTGGGGGAAGGCCTCCAATCTTGGCCTGCTCCCCTCAGGATATGGAACAGGGCAAGGGCTCCCACCTCTGGGGCTGCTCTGTATATGCCCTTCCCTCCCAGCACTCTCCAGGTGCCCAGCCCCCCATGGACGCTAGCTGGCCCGTGCCCCGCTCACCTTCCCGCTCACTCAACACCCGCCAGCCGGAGAGAGTGGTCTGCCCAGTCACCCGCCCCCATGGTGAGCCCCGGGGCTACCAGAGCGAGCCAAGGGGACCGGCTGAGGGAGACACCCACAATCCCACAGACTCAGGCGCTGCCACCACGAAGCGGAGACCTGGGCACTGGGACGGGAAGGGCCTGGCTGTCAGCAGAGCTCACAAACGGCTTCCCTCACCCTCAGCCGACCCCAAACATCCTCTCCTGACCCCACAGCTGCTCCCTGCCCACCCCGACTGGCTCAGGTGATGCTTCGGGCTGCAGGCTCTACACGCAGGGCAGAGACCCCATGGGGACATAAGCCTGGAGCCCTCATGAGGAGGACCGCAGCGGGCAGAGGTGTCACTGCCCACTGCTCCTGGCGCCCTCCCTGTGGGGGGTCTGAGTCCCTGCTCTGCTGAACCTGGATGAGGCCACAGGACTTGCTCTGGACACTGAAACGAGAGCAGACGTATCACCTCTGGGCACAAGATCTCAGCACTGGCCCACAGTCACCGTGTTCTCTCTTCCAAGCTTCTGACCTACAAGGACCCACCATGGACGCAGCTCACGAGCAAGAATCACTGTGGTTGTACGCCACTGTGTAGCCAGCCTTTCAAAATGGTGTCTGACACAGGATCCGGCCGTCATCAAAGGAGCCGGCACCACTCTGAGCGCTGCAGTGCCCCCTTGGGCTTAGTGAGCCAGTCGGCAGAGGGAGCGATGTGCGCAGACAGGCAGCCCTGAGCCACCCGTCAGATGCTCCTGCTACTACTGGAAAAGCCCGTAAACCCTGCGATGTGGGCAGACTGTGGGAATTACCTGGGGAGTTTCTGCTAGGGATGTCATCACCCTTACCTGGGATGGTTCCTATCAGGATTTCCGGCTGCCCAAATTGGGCTTTCTCTCCGGCATAAATGATGTCACACATCATAGCAAGTTCACAGCCACCTCCAAGCTGCAAAACAACAGGAAATGTCACCAGGGGAACCACTCAGAAAATCACTCTATTTGCCTATTTAAATTTTATATTAAAATGAAACACAGTACAGGATAGAGCAAAGATTAATATAGGGGCACAAACCTAGTTAGGTGTTCCCATAAACTACCTACAGATGGTTGACGCTGACAAACTCTTTCTGTAAAAGGCCAGACAACAAACACTTCCGGCTCTGGGCGTCCTACAGTCTCTGCTGTGGCCACTCCACTCTGCTGTGGGGGCCCAAAGGCAGCTACACGGAGTGCGAGAACCAATGGGCAGGGCTGTGTTCCAATAAACATTAGTGGCTGACCCCGGCTTACCCCAGGGAGCTTTGTTACATGATCACGAGTAGAAACGCTCTCTTCACTTCTCATAAGCCACGACCAGCCCCAGCACCTGCAAGTGGTCCACGCGCCTACAGAGACCCCGATGCACCAACAGAGGACATGGACTTTTCAACGGTGGCAGAAGAGGCTGGTTTATAGGTGCAGCTCGGGTTGGAAAAACTGCACAGAAAAGCCAACACCTGCGCCTTAACCTAGTAGAGGGGAGACTGTGCCCAGGGGTCACGGGGTCACAGAGAAGAGTGGGGGGGTGGGGGGGGCGTTACTAACAAAGGAATCTGAGAGCCAACAGCTAGCCTCTGCTGACAAAAGCAGACGCTGAAACACCGCCTCTCTTTGCAGTCCTTGGCTCTTCAGCCCCATTCGGTAGGAAAGGCCTGCTGGCCTGGAAAGCAGACTTAGGCCTTTACAAGGTAAGCACCACACAAGCACGGTCCTTCAACCGTGCTGAGTGAGAGGAGGAGACGTGCTGACACTCACAGCATAACCGTTGACAGCAGCTATGACTGGCTTCTTGACCTGGGTCAGTTGGTCCCAGTGGCTCAAGAACTTGCGGGAGTAACAGTCCTGGAAAGTTTGGTTCTGCATTTCCTTGATATCGGCTCCAGCTGGGGGGGGAAAGGAGGTCCCGCTTACCAGAGAGCAGGGACTCCATTGCTGCCATATCCCCTACACCAACCGGTAGCTAACATGCGTCCACCGTGTGCAGGAGCTGGGGGCTGCTGGGATTGGCTGAGGCAGGGCCCCGCTCTCAGGGGCCTGTGAGGCGATGGCCACATGGACACATAGGTGGGCAGCAGGGACAGTGGCAACACCCTGTGATATGCATGGACAGAGGTGACACAGAGGGACCATGGGACAGGACAGACTCGAGGTGGACTCAGAGAAGACTGGGCTCATTCAGTCGTCACTAAGTCCTCAACACACATGACACCTGACCGTCGAGGACCTGAGCCACTCTTATCTTGCTGGCAGAGCACACGTGAACGTCCGACACCCACAGCAGCCACTTTACACAGGAATAAACCACCAAGCTGTACGGAGGCGTGATCTGACTACAACAGCTCACACCCCAGGTGCCAGCACAATCGCACTGCCCTTGCACGCCTGGGTGACCTGCCACCACACGCACACCACACCTGCAAATGCCTTCTCCCCGCCTGTGACGACGATGGCCCCCACGGCCGGGTCCTCCTCGAAGGCCTCCAGTGCCTGGTTGAGCTCAGTGATGAGGCCATTGCAGAGCGCGTTGAGTGCTTTGGGGCGGTTCAGTCGGATCAGCCCCACACTGCTGTTCTTCCCCTTCTTCTCCACCACGATGTACTCAAAGTTAGTGCCTGGGGGAGAAGGGAAAAGGATTTCCATTTACAAAGGCATCACACTGGGGCGATCTACCCCCATCAGGGGACAGAGTGACCCCTGCCCAGTCCTCAGTGGCAGCTCTCAGCTGCATGGGTGGCCTTTGTACCACTCTTTGCTTTCACAGGTGTTTAAACATTTCCTTAAGTTAAAAAACACCCAGCAACGAACAGCAGCCTTCCCACTCCTGAATGCCTTGGTCCGCGCTTCCCAGAAGGTGCACTAGAGGCAGCCTGCGCTTCTGCAGAACCAACGGATGGGGAAATTCATTCTTTGCCTAAGTGCCGACTAGGTGAGGGGAACTAAGCTGCGAGCACAACAGAGTCCGGCCTTGCTGGGCAGACAGCCCGGTGGAGGTACACACAGGCAAAGGGCGACTGCCATGGCCGGAGGGGCAGTCCGCTCAGACTTGGGGGGTCAGAAATGACCTGGAGAGGAAGAAGGCTAACCCGAGAAGACACAGGTGCCGGCCTGCGTGTTGGGGCAGCTGCTTTCTTGACCGCAGTACCCGCCCCGTGGGCTTGTTAGGGAGGGACGTAAATAACACAGGTCAAGTGTTCCGCAGCAGCATGCCTGTCACATACAAGACCAGGGCACGCCTGCCGATTACAGGCCAGGATGCGGAGAAGAGGGTCAAAGAGAACTCAGGGGACCACTTGGTAGCTAGGTAGTTAACTGGATCCCCGAGTGCAGGAGAGCACGCAGGGACTCTCCCAGCTCAAGGACGGGGCCGCTGTAGCGGTAATGCTGCCGGCGCGCGGCGGGGGCGCCGCAGGCCGGCGGCAGATCCGGGAGAAGCAGGGGACACGGGCGGGCCTGCGCAGGAGGCGCCGCAGCACGAGACGTGCGCCCCTCTCCAACACCGGGGCCCAGACCGCGGGGCTCTTACAGCCGTGTCAACCCGCCGAGTCTCACGCCCAACACCCACGGCGGCACCGGCCGGAGGTCTCGGAGCTCAGCCCGCTCCCCGAGCAGAGGGGCGCCGGCGATCGCAGGGCTGGGCCAGCTCCGGCTGCGGGCCCGGGAGCGGGGCCAGGCTGGACAGGGCCCCTGAGGGCCCAGGGGTCCCGGTGCGG